TCAGCCTCCATAATGGCATGAGCCAATTCCTATAATAATCGCCTCATATATCTATATATAGCCTATTGGTTCTGTCTCTGAAGAACCTTGACTAACACACTTAGCAGGATTCTTGCTAAAACTGAGCTAGGCTGGGAGAAGAAAGAACAAGGGCCAAGGTGGAGGCCTAGTCGAGAGGGTCCCGTCTAAAGTTTGGTCAAGGAGAGAGTCTTTGTTCAAGTCCAGCCTAGCTGTATGCAGAAGCCACACCACATGGAGAGGGAGGTGCCCAGCCAGCCTTCAGCCGTTCCAGCCATCCCAGGTGAAGCAGAGACATAGGAATGAAGAAGTCCTTGTGGATTGTCTCATTCCAGCAGATGCCACGTTCCTGCTGAGCCCTACCAAACTGCAGTTTTGTGAGCAAATAAACAATTGTTGTTTTACAGCACTAAGTTTCAGAGTGCTTTGTCACACAGTAATAGACAAGAGAAACAGGGAGACCAGCCCATTAGTTAACCAAATATACCCAGGCATGCCTGAATTCCCTGATGGACTCAACTAAGGCTCAGGCTGGGATGGCCCTGCTATAGCTATATGCAAGTCAGTCTCATCTCTTAGACTTGTGAGGAACTCGAGCAAGAGCTATTTTATTATTTATGTCTGTATCCCTAGCACCTCTCAGAGGAAACGGCACATTGTAGCTTCTCAAAATGTCCTTGTTGGGTGCATTAGAAGCCACCAAGTGATCTGTAGCACAGATATTATCTAACCCACCAGTTCTTCCCCTTACCACTTTTTCTGTCAAAGCTCACAGGTCATCTACCATCTCCAGCAGTCCCCTCCCACCCTCACACACATTTACATCACGCCTCTTCTTTAATGCCTTTCTTCCTCCTCCTTTCAATTCTCACTCAACTATCTTGGGAAAATTTCTCTTCCCCATGACGATCTTCTCTTTCCACCTTTGTGAACCCCACTCCTACCCAATAGCCTCAACTAAGATTGATAGGTTTAATTTAGTGGCACATCTGTATGAGGAAAAGTAAGACAGTTTGATAAAAGTTAGACTTGAAAACAAGTGCCATCAATCTCTAGAGCCCTTTCATCATCTCCACAGTTTTCCATGTCCAACTTCATCCTCCTTCAATTCAACCTGCTTTTCCACAAGCATAAGCATTTAAAAACTTTCTAGTCCCACATGCCAGAATTTATGGGATACAGCAAAACGGTTCTAAGAGGGAAGTTTATGGCAATACAGGCCTATCTCAACAAACAAGAAAAATCTCAAATAAACAATCTAACAGTGCACCTAAAGGAACTAGAAAAAGAAAAAAAAACAAAGCCCAAAATCAGAAGGAAGGAAGTAATAAAAATCAGAGAAGAAATAAGTGAAATAGACACTAAAAAATAGAAAAAAATCAATGAAACTAAGAGGTGGTTCTTTGAAAAGATAAACAAAATTGACAAACCTTTAGCCAGACTCACCAAGAAAAAAAGAAAGAAGCCTCAAATAAATAAAATCAGAAAAAAAAAAGAGGAGAAATTACAATGGACACCTCAGAAATACAAAAGATTATAAGAATAATATATGCCAACAAATTGGATAATCTAGAAGAAATAGGTAAATTCTTAGAATCATACAACTTCCAAAACTGAATCAAGAAGAAATAGAGAATTTGAATAGAACAATCACCAGTAAGGAGATTGAAAAACAGTAATCAAAAACTTCCCAAAATATAAAAGTCCAGGACCAGATGGCTTCTCTGGAGAATTTTACCAAACATTCAAAGAAGATTTAACACCTATCCTTCTCAAACTATTCCAAAAAATAGAGGAAGATGGAACACTTCCTAACACATTCTACGAGGCCAACATCACCCTGATACCAAAGCCAGACAAGGACAATACAAAGAAGGAAAATTACAGGCCAATATCGCTGATGAATGTAGATGTAAAAATCCTCAACAAAATACTGGCAAACTGAATACAGCAATACATTGAAACGATCACACACCATGATCAAGTGGGATTTATACCAGGGACACAGGGATGGTTCAACATCTGCAAATCAATCAATGTGATACACCATATTAACAAAACGAGGAATAAAAACCACATGATCATCTCAATAGATGCAGAGGAGGCATTTGACAAGATACAACATCCATTTATGATTTAAAAAACTCTCAACAAAATGGGTGTAGAAGGAAACTACCTCAACATAATAAAGGCCATATATGACAAACCCACAGCCAACATCATACTCAACAGGGAAAAACTGAAAGCCATTCCTCTGAGAACAGGAACAAGACAAGGGTGCCCACTCTCCCCACTCTTATTCAACACAGTACTGGAGGTTTTGGCCAGAGCAATTAGGCAAGAAAAAGGAATAAAAGGAATCCAAACAGGCAACGAAGAAGTGAAACTCTCACTGTTTGCAGACAACATGATTTCATATATAGAAAACCCTAAAGACTCTGTCGGAAAACTATTAGAAATAATCAACAACTACAGCAAAGTTGCAGGGTACAAAATCAACTTAAAAAATCAGTTGCATTTCTATACTCTAATAACAAACTAACAGAGAACTCAAGAAGACAATCCCACTTACAATCACAACAAAAAGAATAAAATATCTAGGAATATATTTAACCAAGGAGGTGAAAGACCTATACAGTGAAAACTGCAAATGAAAGAAATTGATGATGACATAAAGAAATGGAAAGACATCCCATGCACATGGATCGGAAGAATAAACATAGTTAAAATGTCCATACTACCTAAAGCAATCTACAGATTCAATGCAATCCCAATCAGAATCCCAATGACATTCTTCATGGAAATAGAACAAAGAATCCTAAAATTCATATGGGGCAACAAAAGGCCCTGAGTAGCCAAAGCAATCCTGAGAACAAAGAACAAAGCTGGAGGCATCACAATTCCTGACTTCAAAATATACTACAAAGCTATAATAATTAAAACACCATGGTACTATTACACAAACACACAGATCAATGGAACAGAACTGAAAGCCCAAAAATAAAACCACACATCTAGGGACAGCTAATCTTTGACAAAGGAGCCCAGACCATACAATGGAGAAAGGAAAGTCTCTTCAACAAATGATGCTGGGAAACTGGACAGCCACATGCAAAAGAATGAAAGTAGACCATCTTCTTTGACCGTGCACAAAAATTAACTCAAAATGGATCAAAGACTTGAAGGTAACACCTGAAACTATAAAACTCCTGGAAGAAAATATAGGCAGTACACTCTTTGACAGTGGTCAGAGGGATCTTTTCGAATTCCATGTCTACACGGACAAGGGAAACAAAAGAAAAAATAAACTAGTGGGACTTCATCAGACTAAAGAGTTTCTACAAGGGAAATGAAACCAGAATCAAAATGAAAAGACAACCCACCAGCTGGGAGAAAGTATTTGCAAAGCA